CAATTTTGTTTATTAAAACTGATTTGTTACAGTTCAACTGTTTCTCTTTCATGTACCATTTATCTCGATATAGTGAGGAGAAAAGTTGTGTGTTTCACTTGGAAGCAAAGTTATTTTGGGTCTCGTGGCTTGAAACCCTCGCTACGCTCAGGATTCTATTTTTGAACCACAGCGAATATTTTTTATTCTTAAATTTGGCAAAAACCAATTTCAATTTGTATTTTTTAATGATCTAGATACTTAAATTTATGATGTATATTAATTTCTATAGTAATTGAAAAGTAATGTTCGAAATTATGTGTGTTCTAGAATATTGAAGGTAAACCTCTAGGAATACTGTGCTTCCGAATCTACAGTACTTCATTATTAGACAACATCACACACATCACCACGTTGCCATATAGTTGCCACCACAAATAGACGCAACGTTACGTTAATCGGTCGTTGAACATTAATCGAGTCTTTTGTAAAAGTGTGAACAGGAATGACCTTTATGAACACAATTGCATGGTTTTCACTACGCCTGCTCAGGCGTGCTTGTATTAAGATTTCCTAACTTGTGGATATAGTTAGGTAGAGATCAAGGTTCGATGTTACGAAATATACGACGCTGTTAAGCAGCTTTTTAATATAAATAATTACTGTAGAGAGATCATATCTCCTTTGGATAAATATGTCTTAGCCATAGGTCGTAACTGAAAGGGTATATCATTATAAATTCATTAAATACGGTATCTGATGCTACATATATATGGGCTATGGGTGTGTGCGACAAAAAAAAAATATTTTTTTTGAGATTTTTTGTGTTAACTTAATATAAAAAGTACGTGTTTTGAATTATTGTTTGTGGTGGTGGGCGTTCAAATTTTTTTATCTTGCATAAATAAAAAAAAGTTTGGGAACCTATGATCTAAAACAATCAATGTGAAAACAAATGTTTGACTAAAAAATTGACGTATTTCTTTTTCGAGCAGCCCTCTAAGTAGGTACAAGGAAAGAATCGCTTTGGTACAACCGGTCAGCTCCTGAGCAACACTAATATTGAAATCTACTGCTTCGACACGGAATATTCTCTATTCTCAAAGCCATTTTCACGAACGAAACATCAAACTTCTCACCATAATAACTATAGAGCGACTAATACATGAGTTACATATTAAATATCACATAATTCTTCAACATGGATAATGGAAGCTGAACAAACCACGTCCCTAATTTTCATACCTTATTAAGTAATGAAGACCAATCAATTGATCCCGTGCTGCTGTGTGTGTGCCGAGTGCTGTTTTGTGCAATTTTTTAAACACGCTAATGTAAATGTAATATAATGCCATTAAGATAGTTGGTGCACTTAATATAGATATTGTTACGTCACATAGTGAAAATTGCAAAAACTTCATATAAAAAATTGTTAACCATTGTGTCGCTGTGCGTTCAAGCTCAAAATAGATTAGTTTTTTTAATTTGCGAGAACTTAAGAAAGTTAAAGTTAAGAAATTACTGTATTTAAATAAAATAAAATAACTATTACTACTATGGTCAGTTTTGAAATAACTAATGTGATCGCTTCGTATAAAGGTATAATTTTTAGTATAAATTTTTGGTGTGGTCGATTTACTAGGTACAGCTATTCACAACGAACTATCCAAAATTACAAAATATCGGTAACAAAGATTACTTGTTTATAAACTGCCTCCGTGGCCGAATGGTTACCGTGCTGGACTGCCACGCAGAGGTCCCGGGTACGATTCCCGGACTGGGAGAAACATTTGTAGGGCCTACATTTACTTCTCTCGTGAGTTTGAGTATAATTTCTGGTTGTCCTATGTGTGTGTCCATGGCAACCGCGATACAGGGTTTTCCTAGTACGGCTATGAGTGTGTGCGTTTAAAAAAATATACCTAAATAGACGTGATCACGTAGTTAAATACACAGTTGTAAGTAAAGTATCGGTGAAGGCGAAGTAACTTTTTTAATAGAAATCACTAAGTTGACTCAAGCACATCGATCAACCGTTGAAAGCTACGTCATTTACGTGAAGGACATCATCTAAAAAATACCTATTTGCAAAGTTATTGAATTCAGACATTGCAATTGCATTTACGCAACTTTTGCGTCTGGCGTTGAAGTTTGTTAACACGCTGATATTTCAAATGTGCAACATGGTCGTGATATTTAAATAAAGGTAACAAGAAGTCGGTACACAAAATTTATAGAAAAACTGCGCCATGATCGAAGTATCTCTCAATAAGTAGTATATAAACTAAAATTTTGAAACGGAAGCAATTCTTATAAGCTACTTAACCCGTCCATGGACAGTAACGGAGTTTACAGTAAAATTCAATTGTAAATATGATAGTACGGGGTACCCCGTTTCGCTATATGGTTCTCAAAATTTAATTGCGGGCTTTTGTACTACGGGTATTTGTAAGTGCTTTCTGTGTAGTTGCCGCCTACTGCTTTTCCATAGAGAAGTACAAACATCGTACTGGTAAAATTCAATGATTTACGTATTTTTTGAAATAAGCATTTTGTATAATCAATATAAGCACTACAGCAAGAAAAGTATTGACCATGAAAGGGTTAAGGTGAACATTTAATTTAATTTTCAATCAACAGCTGCTGCAATACGACTTTTCGTAAAATTGTCAGTGCCATCTGGTGACAAGTAATAAGAAGAACACTGAAAACGCATTTAGCTTCCGGGTAGTGTACTAATTAATCTTGTGAAAACTGTGTACCAACTCTATATTACACTATAAGGAATATGTATTTAATTTGATTTTGCCCAAGAAATTAGAGCAGTAATACTGAATCACTCTTTAATACTAGTTGTGGTCAATATTGTGACAGCAATAATTTAATATTACTCTAATCGCTTCGAATTGCAATTGGACGTAGTTAAGCAAAAAGGATCCAACCCACAAAATTATCAAGAAATGAATTATATGTACCAAACGGTTCCCAAAGTAAAAAAAAACAAATAAAACAAAAGTGAGAAACACCTTTAAACTTCAAACTACGATATCTCGCAAGTGACTGGATGTGCATTTAATCATTTTTGTTTAACTACGTCCAATTAAGCACAGATGTAGATTTAGTACCAGTAGAGCTACTTGTGAAAGACTTCGTCCAGGGAAGTACTGCCACCTTGGTGTCAGCATTATTGCGTTCCGGTTTGGAAAGGTAAGGATGCTGGTGAAATTACAGGCACATGGGAATTGTTAACTTACGTCTCAGGGTGACGGGAACAGTGACAATATCCCTAAGATATTTGCGATTAAAAGTCCTAAGTGGCACTGCAACCGTTATGGATATATCCACCAGTCGCTTACCACCAGGCGTACCACTTGTTCGTCCCGTCACCTAGTATTATAAAAAAAATCGATTTATGATTCAAAACAGCACTTCGGTATCCACTAAATTAACAAATATTGACATGGATTCCACGGACTTCAAAAGTTATGTAATATTTCATTTAACTTCTAGATAATAAGTAGTTTCACATACGAATGTTAACTCTTGTTATGAATTGATTTTTTTTACCAATCATAAATTGTTTAAAAATTTGTGACAGTAGGTTACTCGCGTGAGGTCGATCATCGAACTTTTAAATTACGAAAAACGTTCGTAATGGCTTGCTTAAATTTGGAGACTTATTATCCCGAATACCCATAACTACTGTGAACACTTGGAAAGAAAATTAAATTTCGTTTATTTTCTGCGTGCATTCGCTGTTACGTTACCAATTCGCCTGTCATCGAAATCGTTTTAAAACCGATTTGTGATAATAGCAATGTTTAAGGTAACACGCAGAAGCTCGGAAATTATAGTAATTTATGACAACTTAAACACCTTAAATTTTATGAAATTACTGTACTCTATAGTGAGCGTGAGATAACTGCACACACGAAGTACCTATACAATGCGTGACATAAGCAATTACATAATATATATATATATATATGTTTTATCTTGTACGCTTTTTGGCATTATCAAAATACCATTTTTCATGCCATTTGGCATTATAAATTATGTCCAAACAAAAATTGTCTTACATAGGTATGTATATTGCTTTCGATTCTAAAAATGAACGTTTTTATCAAAACTGAATTTAAAAATTGTTGATAATTTCTCAAAAACAGGTCACTTACTGCATTAAATCGTGTTTGATATTTTGATTAATAAAAATTTTAAATGCTGTGCATTCTTTTACCATTATCCTGATCAAAAAAGAGTAATAACAAAGAATTTTACTTCGTAATGTTATTATGACTTTAATTACAATAATCAGATTTATCACACCTATAATTGATCTATAATGGCTATCAGTTCAAAAGTGTTTTTTTTCTACAATTTTACTTTAGTGATACAAAAGTATTTAATAAATTACATATTTGGATGTTATTTTCATGTATAAACAATATTTAAAATGTTTATAATGTGGTTACACTTTTTTTGCGCTGATAGCCTCAATTGTACCTTTTAGTTATGTTATAAAGAAATTTTCGTTGTAGCACTATAATTAACCATGTTTATAAATCCATAAATTTATCTTTAACTTAGTAGAATAAAAAAAAGTCTTTTCTGCATATATTTCGGCTTAACCGACTGAATAAGTCAGAAAATACTATTTTTGATTTTTTTTCTACTAAATTAAACCAAAAAAATATGGATTTATAAAAACGGCTAAATATAACAACTAAAGGTAAAATATAACAGCGAAAGTATAACGAAAATTTCTGGGTAAAATATATCTTATGTATATTTAACGTAAACAAACTGTCTAATATAAAAAATATATCTTAAGTATTCTTTGCCTCAGAAAAACCTACAAACTATTTCAACTTATACCGTTCATGCCACGGCAGTAGACTCAAACTATAAGCCCATCCACATACACGGACCCGACAACTACAAAAGAGCTAATAACTAACGAACTATAAATTCTAATCTACATATGTGTATTTACTTCATTTTGATCGTTTTTTGTTGTTTAGGTGACGGGAGCATGGCGTCGATTATCGAGCACAGTTTCCGAATCGGTGGGTCTGAAGCACGCGCTCCGGCGGCTGCAGGCTGTGCCGGCACGAGCTGCGCGTTTGGTGCACGCACTTGTGGACCGCATGCGCGTGGGCGGCGGACCAGTGGTTATGACGGAGCTGGGTGCTCTGCGTGGACGCAGGCTGCTTGCACGAACAGCAGCACAGACGCCGTACTATAGTTTTAAAGGAATTAGGTGAACACGAAATTATTGTCTTTACTTAGGAGACTCAAATTTATGCAACTGTAGGTATATTTATAGCATAAAATTACCGACATGCCACCAACTCTATCCCCTGGATACACTCATTTCTTTTAGAGTATTCTCAGAGAGGTAACAACGACTCCCAGATGGCAGTTAACATTAGCGTCCGTCAAGGTTCCATTATAGGTCCGTCTCTGTTAGACTTATTATTAGTTCTGGTTCATTTCTGTTATTTATGGCTTACCTAGCCTTGTAGAATGTATATAACATTAGATAGCATTGTTGTAGTATTGATTAGATAGCATTTAATTTAGAGCCATGATAGGCACATTGGTGCATTTGAACATAAATTTTATTTAACCTGCAATTTAAAATTTTGTGCTACTAGCTAGTGGTTTTAATTGGGGTCTAGTTGTCCTTCAATTTCTATACAGATGCAAACACAATATTTCTGTGGATGCGAGCCATTATTTATATAGATTTTTAAAAAGAAAACAGCGTTATAGCGTGTTTTTTATGAGGCAGGGTAAGTCATTCCAGCACTAAGGTTCAATTTATATTGCGACGGAACGGAATGGAAGCGAGTTTTTATATATAACAATATTGTAGATAGCATAATGAACTTTATGGTAAATTGTGTAATGTTCATACTAGATACGAGCCAACATCTTCTGCGGAATTCTCGCGCATGCTCGAGAATGCTCGCGCAATCCGCGCAAGTTTTGACTCATATCTAGTTTGTACGTTACACAATTGACAATAAAGTTCATTATACTGTACAATATCGTTACAAAAATTTGCTTCCATTCCGTTCCGCCGCAATATGAATTGAGCCTAACTCGCTGCGAAAGGAAAGTTGCCCCTGTACAGAGTTAAACGAGGTAACAAATAATACATGATTTCCGTGCCGGTAACAAGGCTGACAAAACAAAGATGTCAAAGTCTGTAGGCCTGTCAGTCAACCACCTTCACGGAGGATATTCAAATTGGAATGCCTGACATCCGTTGACCTCAATTATGCTATTATGGTATTTTGCGTTGCTCTCTACATAGACACGACTATTTTGCAATGTGCAAATAAGTTTGACGTTTATCGCACTTGTGAACTTCTTTGTTTATTATAACTAACTTAGAAATTTGAAGTAACGTATTGTATAGCATGCGGTGTAAACTATTGGATCCCTTTTTACTTCAAAGTCAGATTTTTACCAATATATATATATATATACATAATAAGGTCAGATTATAATTTCGTCAGTTTGGTACAGTTAACTGGACCTTATGGTCCCGTCAGTCCCGTTTGCGTCAGGAGTAAATGAAGCGGGATTTCCTTATCTTCTAGACATATGCATAAAACAATAGTGTGACTGACTGATTGACGGACAAAGCTTAGCGCGTTTTCCAAAAGTCTATGAGAATGTGCCTGTGTTTTAAAGTTATTACTACCCCTGCCTCGGCTGCCCAAAGTGCAGGCAGTTATGACAAGTTCAATAAAGATCTAATATGCAACAGTGGCACTAGCCTCAAGCAGTTACAGGGACTTTTAAATTATGAGTCAATTTTTATCTGCAGATACGCACAATCGCCTCGAGGGTCGTTCAGGTTTCGTCCTCCAGCACCATTAGAGCCGTGGTCAGGAGTGCGAGACGCGTTGGAAGAGGGCGCAGTGTGCCCCCATAGGTTTATGCTGTTTGACACTTACAAGGGCGATGAGGACTGCTTGTTCCTCAATGTATATACACCAGCACTGCCTGAGAAAATTACTGGGTAAATACCTTATCTGTATACCTATGCCATTATAATTTTATTTCTTTTTACACCTACGTTATTACTGTATTTCTGTAATTTAAATTTCCCCGCATTAAGCGCCTCAAACCTTTTCGTTTTCTTTAGAATTTTAAGTTTTCAATTTAAAAATGGAAATTATATATATGCTTTTAAATAAGCTAAACTATTATCTTTGAATCGTAAAACAGATAGCATCTTGAGTTACGAGATATAATTTTTAAATGGAGATTGCATTGTTGTTTCTTTCTTTTCGTATTGATCGTTTAGAAAACTAAGAATATCGGAACAAGCTCTGAAAGTGATAGCACGAACCTACCTACTACAGTTCTTTAGCAATTACTCGTTAATTAAATATTGAAAGTGTTATTTAACTTTTATTGGATGATTATTATAGATGAAAAACTGCTAACTACATTTTACCTTTTTTTTCCCAGCTTCAATCCTAAATTAGCAGTAATGGTATGGATCCATGGAGGGGCCTTCGCAGTAGGCTCTGGCAACTCGTTCCTATATGGGCCGGACCATCTAGTGGGGGCAGGAGTGGTGCTAGTGACCCTTAACTATCGGCTTGGAGCTCTTGGTTTTCTCAGTATGGAGAATGAAGAAGTCTCTGGCAACATGGGCTTGAAGGTGCGTTTTGTATACTTAGTACTTGTAGGTGTACTACAACTTGTACTGTAAATATTTATGATTTACTCATAATCATATGCAATGAACGGCACAGTACGAAATGACGTCTATAGGGGGACGCCTTTGCTCATCAAAGGGTGATGATTTATGAGTGCCTAAGGTAGCAGTTATGCACCCAAAAAATATAAAGACGTTTCGTTACGAATTTGTTATGGAAGAAAAAGATACCTACCATTTATTAACATTATGTACCTATTTATTATATCTTTAGTGGTTTTCGAAGAAAAATCAAATCCTTACTAATTCATTACATAGACAGATGCCTATGTTATGTTATTAAGTATTATGTTAATAAGGATTTGATTTTCGTACGTTTCCGATATCGTACGGAGCAAGTATCTTCAACTGTCAACACGAATACTGATGAACTCAATACTACTTGTGCTACCATTTCATGATCAAAAATTAACTTGCTAGCCTTAACTGTAATTGATTAATTGGAAAATTAACTCTTATAGTAACATTCATTATATTTGGTTAAAATGAATAAAGCGTATAGGTAAATGATGAAATATTTCAATGTAATGACGTAAATACGGCATACGGGTTATTCTTGAGCTTATTCCGATTATTTTATGATCTATGTTTCCCACACAAAGTTTTAAGGAAATCTTTCAAAGAAAAGCCGAAATGGATTTCACGTGGCATAAAAAAGAGTTGTGTACACAAAAGAAATCTACTGTGGAAATACAGAAAGAATAAAAGCACCAGAAATCTAGAATGCCTGAAATCTTATGCGAAAATACTTAAAAGAATTATGCAAAATGCGCAGCGCAGTCACAACAATAGGCTCATATGTAACTCTCAAAACAAATGCCAAGCAGCCTGGCAGATAATTAATCGTAGTAAGTGTTGTTATCCCAAAGAGCCTATTGCTAAAATTAATTATAATAATCGATGTTATTCAGATCCTTTGGAAATTGCTAATGAGCTTAACTACTATTTCTTAGACCAAATAGCAGTGACCATAGTAATCCCATAAATATTAAAATAAATCCGAATTCAATATTTATTTATCCATTTATACCTAATGACATTTTAAAAATTATATTATCTTTAAAAAATACTTATAGTGTAGGTTATGACGATATTTGCACAATACCTGTAAAATATGTGGCTAATTCCATTGCTCTACCATTATGTCACATAATTAACTTGAGTCTTATCTCGGGAGTTTTTCCTGACAGTTTAAAGTTTGCAAAACTTACGCCCTTGTACAAAAAGGGAGACGCGGAAAATATTAGCAACTACAGACCTGTAGCTTTACTTTACATTACTTCCAATATTTTCTAAAATTTTTGGAAAAGTTATACACAACAATTTATACTCGTTCCTAGAAAAGCACAAGATTATTATCACTGAGCAAAAAGGATTTAGAAAAAATATGTCAATAAATAAAGCAATTTATGACTTAACACGTAGGGCTGTAACGAAACTAGACCAAAGAATTCCTACCTGTGCAGTATTCATGGACATGTCCAGGGCGTTTGATGATGTAGAGCATAAGGTCTTGCTAGAAAAAGTAAATAATTACGGAGTAAGAGGAGTTGCTCTGAACCTAATTCAATCATATCTTCACAACAGACAGCAGTACACAGAGCTAAGTCAAGTATGTATCAACAGCGGTTGGGTTAAGCAATACAAATCGAAGTGTAGAGTTGTAGAGCATGGTGTTCCGCAAGGTAGCATATTAGGACCTCTTCAATTCCTAACGTATATAAATGACATGCCCAGCAGCTGTGGTTATCCAATGATACTATTTGCTGATGATAGCACCGTAATTATTGAAAACACAAACGGTGACCACAATTATTATCTAAACGAGATAAACTCTACTCTTGACCATCTGGCTACGTGGATGAATAATAACAACCTAAAAGTCAACACAAATAAAACTAAAATTATGTTTTTTAATCAAAGAATGACTCTACCTGACCTAAAAGTTAAATGTGGTGACAATGTTGTAGAAAAAGTAAATGTAACAAAGTTTTTAGGTATAACTGTAGATAGGGGCATGTCGTTTAAAACTCACTCGCAACAGGTGTGTGCATAACTATACACGCTTAGCTATGCACTCTACAAATTGTCGAAAACTGCGGACCGCCGAACTGTGGTAATGGCTTACCACGGCTTTGTTGGATCTATCCTTAGGTATGGTGTGATTTTCTGGGGTAACTCTACCTACAGAGAAACTATATTTAGAGCCCAAAAGCGATGTGTCAGAGCCATATGCAACATTAAATACACTGACAGTTGCCGATCTTTTTTCCGTGACCTAAAATTATTAACCTTCCCATGTCTGTAAATCTTTGAGGCATGTATCTTTGTTGAACGAACTTGGGTGAATTTCCAGAAAAAGTAAGTTCACAAGCGCACTTATTTCGTACCAGGAAATATATGGTCCGAAGAAATATATGTAAAACGGCCCTATACAAAAATAGCGTTGTTGATATGGCACCCAAAATATTTAATAAAATTCCAGACGCAATAAAAAACCTTAGTGGAATGCAATTCAAGCATGTATTAAAACAATTATTAATTGACAAGTGTTACTATATAGCATAGAAGAATATTTTAATGACAGTTTCTTAGAATAGGTAAATGCTGACAGTTGGGTACCATTTAGTTATTAATATTTTTAGACTTTTTAATTATTATTAGTTTTTTGACATTGTATCCATTTTTCTTTTGTTTTTAATTTGACATTACATTTTTATTTAATTGACTTCGTATGCCACTTTGGCTTATTGCAGAGATTCCATAAAATTATTATTACGATCAATATATATCTATCATGTACCTGTAATAACGAATGAATGAATAAATGAATTAAATTGAATTGACTCAACTAGATGTGACAATGTGGTATTTCAATGTGTACCAACACAAAATAAAATAATCGTAGTATCGTAGTGTTTGAATATAACATTCTTTTTTTTTTTTCTTTCTTTACAACGTTCTCGCTACATTTGCATTATAAATTATATAATATTATTTAACAAACTAGATATTTGCTGTCGACATTGAATTTTGCAACATACTATCATATAGCTTACGATGTGAAGGTCGTATTAATTTGGCCTTGCTTATTGTGACTTTGATTGATTGTGTGATTTTGACTAATCTGAGATGTTGAGTATAAAACTAATAGTGCATATAATATCAAACATGTAACCAACATATAAACCATAGGTTCCCATACTTTTAGGCTCACCGCCAATTTAGGCAAGGTAAAAATACTTCATCGCCCACCACCACAAAAAAATATTGAAAACAAGTTTTTTTATGTTACCTTAACACAACAAATCACAAAGAAAAAAAAAATTTAAGTGTGATTTAGGTTTTTTTTTCAAATGCATTAGCACCTCCTGGACAGGATCAACGCCCTCCAATTGAGAAAGAGCCCTACGGCTCTTTAGCGCCCACTTGGGGGGCGGGACCACTTTGGGAAACTAGGATATATACTATAAAGTAATCGGTGACGTAGTCGATGGGAATTAGACTACGAAGACCCCTACATATTTGACACTGGCTGTTCCAAAGTAATGATTGTGACGATGCTGCTCTTCTTCGTCGTCATCCCACCTTTTTATCATCCTCTTTTCTGGTTCCCGGCCAATTATTTTTAGAATTTTGAATCGATCTCAAAATCCTTTTCCGTCACTATTCTTACGTTTGCTCTATTCGTCGTTAATATCATCAAAATTCTTAAAACGAGATGACGTGGCCACAAATACATCACACCTCGCCCTTTTGGGGTGATTCTTTTTTTATGAGATCAAGAGACGGGACGAATTGGTCGCCCACCTAGTGACAATTGATACGCCTGTCCATAACAGTTGCAGTACCACTCAGTGCTTTATGTCACAAAGATCAGGGGTACTGCCACTGCGCCCGTCACCCTGAACACAACAGTCACTGGTTCGGGTAAACAAACAAGTCGAGTATTGTCACTAAATTTTTGCCATCTTGTATATTTTTTAAAACATTACGGAAATTAAACTATTTTTTCGGATCTAAGTTGCATATATTTGTTTTTTTCAAATAAAACAATGTTTCAGGCCCTTTACGGATCCCATCACGGCTGACTGACTGAACAAACTGGACAAATATATGGGATTTAGATCGAAAACAAAAATTTTCATTTCCTATGTGTACCAATTACGAAAACCTAAGAAGTCGATATTACGTACCTATTTTAAAACAATCAGCTCTGAGAAGCTAGTCTAATCTAGTCTTATACAAACCCTGTTAGGACCAAGTGATGGCGCTGAAGTGGGTGCGAGACAACATCGAGTATTTCGGCGGCGACGCTACTCGCGTCACGATCTTCGGCGAGTCAGCCGGTGCCGCCTCCGTGCACATGCATATGCTCTCACCTATGTCTAAGGTACCGCCTAATATTTAATGTTTTTTTCTGTTACTAATAAGGAGGCTACCAGTGGAGGTGAACAGGGTTAAATTACAAGTAAACAAAAAAGAGAGTTTATTAAATGTAGGCCAATAACATTGCGTATTTGATACAGTACAAACATGGAATTAACAAAAATCACAAGTCATTATTTGATAGGGATGGGACATAAATTGCAGGGTTCGAAATTATAAAGATATTGATTTTCTTTAATAATTATCATGATCATTATCCGATAATTATCCACGCTGAAGCATAGTTCATCTCTGTAATTTATTTTTATCTAAAAATGACAAATAGGTAGTGAGAAAACTAAATAAACACGAAGAAAAATCTTGGCGTAACGATTTGCTTTTGTGACTTTTTTAGATTGGCACCTATTTGACATATTTGGATACGTGTCGAACATAAAACACACGGCACACTAGCATTTTGTTATTCCATTTAATTAATTTTATAACTATCAAGATACATTTTAGTAGCAGTAGAGCTCCTTGTGAAAGAGTTCGTCCAGGGAAGTACTGCCAGCTTACCTATTTCTGCCGCTAGGCAGTAATGTGAACATTACTACGTTCCGGTTTGAAGGATAAGGGTCCTGGTGAAATTACAGGCACATGGGCCTTGTCAACTTATGTCTCAGGGTGTCGGGCGCATTGGCAGTGCCACTCAGATCTTTGTGATTTAAAGCTCTTAGTGGCACTGCAACTGCTATAGACAGGCGTGTCGCTTACGCTTTTCTAAGTGTTCAATCTTTGTATTAATAATAATTATTACAAACTAGGGGAGTAATTTCACAAAAACAATTAAATGTCATGGTGGTCAGACAATGTGGCATCGAATACATTTTAAAATATTTATTAAGGGACTTAATTTCTTTCTAAAGATTTAAATTTTCGTAATGTAATATCGATAATTTGGGTAGATATCTTATAAAGCATCTGTTTAAATTGCAACATACTTAAATATGATACAGCCGTATAGGTCTCCACTATGATACAATCAACAATCAAATTTTGACACCTCTCCGAGACCATCAGACAATGGACCACGGGAGGTATGCTTTTGCAAAGGGTCATGGTTCTTCCTTGCGCAATATTATGTGTTATAGTTTAATAAGTAAGTACCTATTATTTTGGTGATTGCGGCAATAATATTCAAATACCAGTATATGACAATATAAAGAGCCTGATTAAATCATTATAGCAATAATTTGAAAAATAAACTCTGTATTTTCATCGTTACATTGTTTTGTTGAATGTTTTTGTGCAATCAATACTTTTTGTATTATTGTTAGAAAGGCGAGTTTTTTATCGCCAGCATGATTGTTTCAATTTTATGTTTAATTTTGTTAAAAAATCTTTTACTCTCTGTATAAATAAGTACCTAAATATTAGACAACATCGTGTACTACCCACGCTTCTCTATACCCGCAGTAAGTAGCTAAAACACTTGTGCGGTGGAAATCAGAAACGATGACGGTACCACAAACATCCAGACCCAAGACAATATAGAAATGTTAGATTTCTACAATGACCCGGCCGGGGATCGAACCCGAGACGTCAGAGATGGCGACACCATGAAAGCCCGTGTGCAAGCTACTCGACCACCGAGAGCATCAAAATTCTCTACATTTATGACTTTTTTTATGATACCAAATGACGGGACTAACAAGTTATGCGCCTGATGGTAAGCTACACGCCTGTCCATAACAGTTGCAGTGTCACTCAGAGCTTTAAATCGCAAATATCTGAGGGGCACTGCCACTGCACCCGTCACCCTGAAACATAAGTTGACAAGTTCTATGTGCCTGTAATTTCACCAGCACATTTAGCCTTCAAAACCGGAACGCAGTAATGCTCACATTACTGCTTGGCGGCAGAAATAGTTACCTATGATGGCAGTACTTCCCTGGACAAATTCAATACCTACCATATTAATAACACTATATTAATTAATTGATATTTTTTCTGAAATCTGTTCTAATTATCTAATTCCCGCCGTATCATATTCAGGGTCTATTCCATCGAGCGATCGCACAGAGTGGGTTGGCGCTGTCCCCGTGGGCATTGGCGCGGGAGCCGCGAGAAAGGGCTTTTGACCTGGGACGCGAGCTCGGCATTGATACTAATAACACAGCTGAATTACTTGGTAAGTTTAATTACGCTATTATCTGTAGGCTAGGAATGGAAAGTCAGGTATGACTTTTAGGTATAAAACAGCTGCCAAAAACTTATCTAGCAAAACCTCCATGAGCTCCTCTTGATTTTTTGTGGAAAAGTACTACGGCAATTAATATCAAATTAAAACTTAAGGCTCATTTTTTAATGCTGCAGATCCTTAGAATTTAATTACCACAGCCCATTTGTTTTTAGCTGAATTTCTTGGTAAGTTTAATTATGCTATTATCTGTAGGCTAGGAATGGAAAATCAGGTATGACTTTCAAGTATAGGACAACTGCCAAAAACTTATCTAGAAAACCTGCATAAGCTCCTCTTAATTTTAAAAAAAGTACTATGGCAATTAATGTCAAATCGAAACTTAAAGCTCATTTTTTAAACATTTTAAATGCTGCAGAACCTTGGAATTTGATTACCACAGCCCATTAGTTTTTTTTTTTTTAAACCTTACTTTGTTATATTACGATTTTTTTTGTATTGTCGAAATAGGCACTGACATAAACCTGAGTGGCTTCTAAATGCTGTAATAATTGTTTGTAATGTACCTGTAATAAATAAAAAAAAGCGAAGAGCGTAGCATGAAGAGGGTGCTAACACGTTGTGGTGCTGTAAAGAAATTCTTATGCTTCTTCTATGACATGCAAAACTCTATTTTTCGCATTTTAAACAGGTTACCTTCGTGCCACACCAAGCGAATTACTTGTAAAGGCAGGAGCTCGTCTAGCCGGCGCGCCTGGTAAGACTGCTGACCTACAGAGTACCGTGGCTCTGCCATTCGTACCTGTCGTTGAACCTGATGTACCTGGCGCTTTCCTCACTAAGAGCCCACGAGAAAGTCTACCAGGCGTCGACGTACCACTGCTTACTGGTTTCAATGCGCAGGAAGGCATCATTCTCTTCCGACGTAAGTCTATTTTCTTTCTTCTTCTAAAATTTATTTTATTGAATATCGTGTTTTATAAAGTAAATATTTTACTAGTTCGGTGTTATTATTCACACAATGATCGAACGAACAAGCACAACAAAAAAAAAAATGCCTTCAATCCGGCTGGATTCGAACTCGAAGGTCTACTCTGAAAATATACAACCGCAGCTTCGTACGAAAACAAAACGATTCGATCACAACACTTTCGTTTTGAGCTTCGGATCCCATAGACAATAACGTACCGATAACGTGAATGTAAAATGTGAATGGTGAAATAGATTATTTTACTTGCTTAAACAAAAATTTTACTGAACAAATGGCGGATTTCTTTAGTGTTGGACCATAGTCTATCGAAAAATCATTATCGACTTGGAAAAGTTTAATTAGAGTTCATCAATATTCCATTTGGGAATATTTTACTTCATAAGGGAATATCCGGGAATGTCATGTGAGAATTTATTATTTTGCATTTATAAATGCTCAAATGTTAAAAAATGTAAATTTGTGCAGGAAAAAATATACTTTGAGAGTATATTAAAAAAGCGAAAATTTTATAGTATTAGTCTGACAATCGCTATGCATTTCCAACCTCAAGATTGATTAGAAATAAATATTTCACAGGTTTCCAAATAGTGTGAGCTTTTTGTATTTATGCATTGGTATAGAATTAATATCAGTGGGTGGTTTAAGTAAATCTTTAACACTTCAATTTATTTTGCAAATAAATAAAAGTTACTTATATAATAGTAAATAAAAGTTGCTTATATTATTGTTTTAATTATCAACAATAATTAAATCAATAATAATGTTATACGTTTATTTGCTTAAAACATGGTATAACAGAATATGTATCAAAAAAAGATGTATCGAGAGACAGTGTTAGTACAAACATGTTCGGAATATATTAAATAGCATGCAAATGTCTAATTGTATACAATGTCAGTTGACTACTATTGGTCGAGCGCCTTCGGTTTGTACAGAAAAACAGACACCTCTCCAAAGTGAGACAAGTGGTCACGAGTGCTGGGAGTTGCGATAAGCTACGCCAAATGAGCTCTATACACTATACACATTGGCGTTCGCCTACACTCGGTCAGCTAGGAGAGTGGCACCGAACGATGGCAAGGCAAAGCAAAATACGTTAATAATTGGCGTATTGTTGGCTTTAGAAAATAATAATTTTTAGTAGTTAGAGTTGCAGTGGGAAAGAGTCGGAAACGAGTGGATAATTTTATTTTCAGGAACAAGAATGCCTAGTAAATGAGTCTTATTTAATCTAAATTAACTATAAAATTATTTACCGATAAACCTAATGATGGAAATGCATTATCACATAATCTAGTTACATTCAAAGTTCTGTTAAGTTTTGACTCTTTAAAATACAAGCGCACAAATGAAGATGGTCTTTGATCCTATATTTATATTCGGCAGTCATAGATTTCCAACCATCCTTTCTTTCTTGTTTCATTTGTAGGTTAATTTGAAATAATAAATTGAATAATAATAAAATAATACACAACTCGTAGTGGATTGTTTTAATAACAGACTATCGATAATATGTATGCTTACAAGACAACACCATCTCAAAATAATCGTTAACAACAATCATCAAAACATTCAAACAAACAGGCAATCTGAAGCAACCAAAGCAAAATCTGGCAAGATTAATGGATTACTTAAATAGGAACGAACTTAAAGGACTTATATAGGAACAACTTAAATAAGTCTAATACGTGTGATATTTGGGCTATTGTGTGATTTATAGCCAGAAAAATAACACATGCCTATGCAATTAACATTCGGTTGGTTTTCGCTTTTGATAATGCCACATCCCTTAATGGTGCAGCGATGCATTTTTATTAATACCTAATTGTTCTCACTGTCAATATTTTTGTCCATTTTATTACAATTCGTGCAAATAATTAAATAAAACACTTGGTAAATCATTTGTTTTGACATTTGATGTACTTCCCTTTGACAACGGTGTCATGTACTGCGAAATGGACACAGTTGACATTTAAGATGACGTAAAGTATTTTCGATTCCCGTGTTTGCCACAGACCAATGTAATGCTATCTCTTTATGCTTACGATTGCACGCCGTAGTTAAACAAAGACACTAACATGTTCATGTTTTCAACGTCGAAATGCATCATATCGACGCCGTGACGAAGCTGGAAAGAGATTTTGTCGTATGTCGAAAAATAGGACTTTACACCAGGGCCGAAATTTAGAATAAGGGCCGAAAAACTATTTCAAAAAATTATTTCTGTTTAATTTGAATTAGTAGAAAGTCAATCACAAAGTCAAATCACATCCAAAGGGCGCGTGTCTGTTTGTACTAACACTGTCTCTCGATACATTTTTTTTTAAGAAAAATCGCTAAGTCTATGCAAGAAATCGTGTCGTTTCTACACACGAACTGTGTACACAGCCTCGGCGCCAGACAAGAAAAAAATCTATCCCCGACACGCGACGCGCTCTGCTGCTATTGCATAGGACGCATGGTCAGTAAACGAACGTTTATGCGCGTGGACTGATTTTACAAAGTACCACTGTTGCACCACTAATTTCATTGCGACTAATAAAATGCATGATATATTTATAAGTTTGGTAGAGGAACGACCCGTATTGTGGGACAAAACCTTAGATATTTATAAAGATAAACGACGTACTTTTGAGGCGTGGAGAGAAATATTCTGTACATATAATTTGCAATCACTTTTTTTTATTAGTTGTCAACATATTTCTTCACATAGTCGGTAGTAAAACGACAGCTACCTGGAAGTGCACTAACACGTTTACCCTACACACGTCTGCCCGAAAGCATTCGTATCGTGTACATACTCATCATTTTCTTGTCTGCAACATATTTTTTTACTGAAGAATAAGAATAAGAATACATTTATTGCATAACTAGGGTAAAACTGGGTTAGATGCCCCACTTTTTGAAAGGGTGTCCTAATTTAAAAAATATTAGGTTACCATGAATAATTCCTATGGGTATAACTAGATTAATCTTTTATATTACATTAAGACTTGATTTTATTGATCTAACATTTACTCATTTTGAAGAAATTAGACTTTTTGCAAACCCATTTTTTTAAGGATAGATGCCTACCTATATGGATAGACGCCACACGATGAAAATACTAAGAAGGACATGCTCTTTAGATTAAAATAGTAAAATTCATAAGAAAATGTTTTATTTGTAATCTTTAATACATTGTATATACATATTACATCTTTAATAATAAATATATACGTATTCATTGACTTGTACGTATTTAAAGTTCCTACCTACTTCACTTCGTATTTTTGTAGCTATCAAAACATTCTATACAAAAATGTTCGCTGTTTAAACCATTTTAAAACTGTGAATAATTTGTCTTTTTGGTACTTTTACTTACTTTTAAACTATTATCATTTACTTGTCTTTCACTAAAATATTTTTTTTTTCCTAACTTTCTTGTATTGTCCTTTGCCCCTAAGGGCACCTATACCGCGAAAATCGAGGCGTCTATTCTATTCGATATAGATAGATATCCTTGTATTATATAACTAAGCTATATACAAAAGAGCGATTATTGACACCTAGGTGCGCAGTTAATGAACCAGTGTATAGTTATAATAAAAATAAAACGGAATTTATTATAACTTACAAAATTATGCGACAGTAAATACTTGCGTATGAAATTTTGAACCGTTTATCGTGTTCGTCGCGGAGATAAACGCATGCACAAGCCAAACGCGTCTATTCCACACGAAGCCCTGCAGGAACTTTGATGAGTGGTGTCTATACTCCTTATTTAAACTAATTATTTTTTGTTGCGATTTGGCGAAGTTAGGTTTTTTGAAAATGAGGCACCTATCCCACTGCGGCATCTATCCCGGTTTTACCCTACTTGCTTCTGAAATTTTGAACAGTTTGTCGTGTTCGTCGCGGAGATAAACGCATGCATAAGCTAAACGCGTCTATTCCACACGAAGCCCTGTAGGAAGTTTGATGGGTGGTGTCTATACTCTTTATTTAAACTAATTATTTTTTGTAGCGATTTGGGGAAGTTAGGTTTTTTGAAAACGAAGCACAAGCACCACCATATACAGGCACCCATGCCACGCGGCATCTATCCCGGTTTTACCTTATAGGTAATTACATAAGGTCTTAAAATATGACATTGGTTTGTGCTCTATAGTCTACCAGTTAAGGTATACAATACTATTTAAATGTCACAGAATAAAATTAAATTACATACACAATATGAGAAAAAAAAATTAATAAACGTGTCACATCGCTAGTCACCAAATTTGTTATTGTCGTCAAAAAACTGTTGTACACTATAATAAAGTTTAGTAATAAACCATTTACTAAGAGCGTTTTTACATTTTATGTACTCTAATCTTTTAAATTCATTCGGAATGCTGTTGTATATTTTGACCGACATCACATAAAAGCTTTTGTGGTAAAATGCTAAGGTATAATTGCCCGAGTAAACCATTCTATGCCCACGTCTTAAACTTCTATGGTTCCTTTTATCTGCGGTTTCAAAATATGACGGATGTTTCTGGACAAATGCAGCAACCTCCTTAATGTACAGGCACGGTAAAGGTAGGATTATGCACTTGGCGTTTTTGTATCTTAAATACCTGAATAAACTCTACTGAGTTTCCCCGAAAAATTATACCGTAATTTATAACCGACTGCACATAACCAAAATAAGCTGTTAAGGCCGCATCCACAGACGCATTCTGTACTAATTTTCTCAATGGGTACACAAACCGTGATAATTTGTTACACAAGTTCTCAACATGTACTTTCCAGTTGCAATTGCTGTCAAGGATAAGGCCCAAAAATTTTGTGTGTTTAACTTGTTCTATATTAACAAGATTAAACGAGATGTTTAACGCTATCGGTAGTCTTTTAGATGAGTGAAATTGCATGATGTTAGTTTTTGTTAGGTTTATACTGAGACCATTTCC